AGTAAGTTTGCTTATTCACAGCATTTCTACGTACTCGGTATTATTCCTTGATGTTTATGTATCTAAAGACGCAACTGACAATATTGGTACCGATATATTTTGCAAACGGACAAAATTCAATTGTGTTTAGATTTTACATCCTATTTTATTTAATCATGAAATCGAGGTATTCCGTTAAGTCAAGCTAAGCGCTATAGATATATCATTTCCAATTATGATACTTTTAACCAGACCAGCCTTAAGATACGTTAAAAAGATTTTTTCTGATATAAATAATTATACGAAATGATCTTTTGAAGAGTGCTTTGCTTGATGGCACATTTTTATCAAGTCAATGTTTAAGACGTGTGGTAGCAGCTCAGTAAATTGACTCTAGTTACTTCACACCGCTGCTTAAACCAGCGTAGATCTGTATTATTGACCTTTATAATGAACATTGAACGACCAATGAAATGCCAAGTTCTAATCGACTCGAATATCTTTATACGCATTTTCATTGGTTAAAACAGATCACCTGGATGCACAATTGATAAATAGACGGATGTTTCCCCGCCAAACAAAATAGCGTCTCTCAGAAATTTCGCAAAATAACCATTGAGGAAACTTAGGATACATTTGGTTGTTATAAACTGGGTCATAGAAATGACTGAGTTACTAAGAATAGCATCACAAACATCTTGTTTATTAGGTTATTTCAAATGTTCAAGAATTATACAAGAGAAACCAATTCCCGCGATCTACATTGGACAATTTTTTTTTATAAAATTATTCAAACAACTTAATATCACGTGTGTGGGAGATGTATCTCTTACTGACGTTCAGAGAATGTTCAGTGTTTGATGAAGCATACCCTCTGCTCTGAAGGTGCACAAGGTAGAAGATACCATCACAGCCATAGTAGAAATATTTATATACGTTTGAACACGTAAATTGTGATGATGTTTTTGAAAATGATGCACATTCTTTTCACTGTCAACCGAGAGAAGTAAGTTGCATATTTAAGATTGACAATTTTAATGGCAATTGAAAAATAATTGCAAATTTAATGTTTAGGATAAATTTAAAAACTGCTTTAATATAAAAAAGATTGTCCAACACTTTTAGAAAATGACAGTTTATGAATGATCTTTATAGACATTTTTGTGGTTAATGCGGATTATCCATTATCAAGGTGACATTTACTATAAAATGGAAAACAAACATATGACAAAATGTTAAGTTTAAATTTTTCCTGAACACTCGTGATTATCACTTGAATAGACATAATGTCACTTTAATTATCACAGAATCTGCAGAACCAGGAAAACAAACATTATTCAACACCCTTACCATTACTGCAAACCTGAAAAATCTCAGGCACTAACCAGGATTTCAACCCTGGACCTTTCAGCTGCAAGGCCGAAAATCAACTATGTCTTTCAAAGGTTAACACAACAACAGGGTTGTAGGAAGTGGCCTATTCACTTCTCCCCTCTTTATTTACTCATTGCAACCTTATATTTCAAAATGTGAGTTTTAATCACTGTCAATGAGTGAACACTGCCTACTCATGTTCAATGTAATTATACCTATAAAGTTCCCAGAATAGATCAGGCTAGACGCAATGTCACATCTTTATACTAGTCAAATCATATTGCCCACAAAAGAAACTTTATAAGCATTATTTCATTTTAATCATTGTCACCATTATTTTAAACGTAAAAGTCTCAGGCACTGAGAGGAATTTGAACTGATACTGCTAAAGGGTTAACCCAACAAAACCTAACAGTAAAGGCTTTTGGAAGTGGCCTATACTTATAATTACTGCAGCATTTAATAATTTAGAAGTTTATTACACTTTTCTACTAATGCAATAAACCTACGCTTGAAAACTAATTTTTTGATAAAAATGGTTATATGTCCAAAAGCAATTAGATACTTTGTCAACTTTTTTGTGATACATATAAACTTAAAGTAAATTAAAGTAAAGCAAAAATAGTTTTTTTAAATGGTGGCACCTTGGATAAAATTAAAAATAGGACTTATAAAAATAAGCAAATTGAAGTTGCAATGTTTTTGGTTATGGTTTTTTAATATTTACAAGACAGCTTTTTATTAACAGAATGGTTTACATGAGTTATGTATAAAAGGGAAAGAAGGTTTTTATATCAAGTTTAGAATCTTTGGTTTGAGTGTTGCCAATTAAATAAAAAAAGTATTTTTTAAACTGTTTGATACTAAAATATCTCCTCAGGTACTAGTACTATATGGGGAGCTGACATTTGGGGTACAGGTATTTAAAGAGTGCTTTGCTTGATGGCAAACGCTTTATGTGTTGTAAAAAAAATCTAATGTAGCTGTATTAGGCGACTGCTGGAGGTATCCTATAAATAAAATATCAATAAAAATACGAATTGAGTATTAGTTAAAAATTATTAAAATCCCAAAAGATAGACTAGTTAAAAAGTGTTACATGTATTTAAAGATTTTTAATGATAATACAGGGACATGATATTTAAGACTAATTTAAAAATTATTAAAATCCCAAAACATAGATTATTTAAAAAGTGTTATTTAAAGATGGTTAAAGATAATATACAGGGAAATGATAATTTGGTTTCATCTTTAAGAACAATTTTACAAAATAATGGTTTTGGATATGTATTGGAACACCTTTCAATCTTACTTTGCGAATCCTAAAATTATAAACATTGTTAAAGGAAGTTGAAGACGACCACTGATACACGTAATTGATGACACAAATTGAAATATTACACTTACACCAAATAATTTCCATTTCCGAAAACCGGCCTCCCGAAGATATAGACAGAAGATTACGATAGTTATTTCTTTACATATGTAAGTACAAGAGATAAATAATTGACAATATTGAACAAACAAAAGCATTCTGAAGAATTTGGAGAAACAAAACTTGGGAACGTATGGAATCCAAACTGAAATCAAAGAAAATGCGATCTGCATATAATGCTACAATTTTTGACGTAGTTCTTATTAAAAAAACTACCACGAGGAGTTTGGAGAATGGGCGCATATGTGAATTGATTCCATTTCGGGATGGGTATATTAGATCCGCAAAGCTGAAAATATCGAATAGCGGCCATGGAAGATTTTGGTAGACCTTTGAATCGGAAACTGAATTTCTATTTTACAATTGTGACCTTGACCTTGATCAAAAACATCTGGGTAGCAATCCAATGCTGCATCTTGATATAAGCTGCACAGACACAACGTTTGACTTCAATAGGCCTCAACTAATTCGAGTTATTTAGCGGAAACTGAATTTCTGACCTTGACTTTGATCACAGACAACTGGGTAAGAATCAAAAGCTGCCTTTTGATATAAGCAACCAATTCACCAAGTTTAGTGTCAATAGGCAAAAGCGAACAAAAGTTATTGAGTAGAAACTGAATCTCAATATTTAGCAACAATGACTTTGACCTTGATCACAGACACCTTGGTAGCAATTCCAAAGTGTCTCTTCATAGAAGTTACCAATACCCCAAGTTTTGATGTTAACAGGTCAAAGCAAACACAATAATTGAGCGGAAACTGAATTATATTTTTAGCAACAGTGACCTTGACCTTGACAACAGGGACCTGGATATCGATCACAAGCTGTCTATGATATGAGATACCCAAACATCAAATTTGGTGTCAATAGGCCTCAGCAAGCACAAGTAAATGAGTGGAAATCGAATTTCTAGCAAGAGTGACCTTGACCTTGATAGCAGACACCTTGGAAGCTATCCCAAGTTTCCTCTTGATATACACTACCCACACACCAAGTTTGGCGCCAAAGCAAACTCAAGTTATTGAGCGAAACCAAAAGTTGACTTATGCAAGGAATTTGTATCTTGTGTTAATATATATTCAACAAAGGTGTTTTTTATTTTTTTTTTATTTTGGGGATTTTGTAAATATGCATTTGATATGTTGAATTGTTTAGATGTTCGCCTGTGACATTTACAACATACAGTTTCTAACAAGAAAAAATATGATACATCACATAAATCAAGTTAACTTTTAAAAGTACTTTCGTTAAGTGTAAACGTTGCATCCGGGAGTTAAGTACAAAAAGTTCTCGAAAATTATGTATGTATCTCTTTCTTTGCTCCGATTTTGCCCTATTTTGAATGGTAGAAAAATATCACTTGTTACAATTTGTAGGTGCGTTTGATTATATTTTATTATTTGTAGTTATTGAAATATGGAAAAATAAATAGAGGATATTCAAGTTTTTTCTATAAATACATGATTTATTTTCATCGAGTGGTATGAAAATAAATATTTCATGAGTGGCGGTAGCCACGAGTGAAATATGGTAATTTTCATGCCACAAGATGAAAATACATCATGTATGTATGGAAAAAACTTGAATTTTCTGTTTATTATATACATTTTACTCATTTTTGACATTAAAATTTGAAAGACTTTCCCTTAAATTTTGTGTACTGGCAGAATTTAAAAGAAAGTAGTCCGGCAAGACACCAGTGAAAATACGGAAAATATGTTTCACTGCAGTGAAAAATAAATTTTTTTCAGTGAAAATACGGAAACTGAAAATACACATTTTATTTCATCAATATTTCTCAATATTTCATTTATAAGTATATATTAAAAAAGATTATTATTTGAAGTGTGTTTGTTTTTATTGGTGTTAAAGTGAATCTCAACCACAATATCATGAATTATCACACATAATAAATATGTGATTTATTTTAATGATCCTTAAACCATAGAGATTTTATGGTTTGGAAACACATATTGTCACCAACCACCACATCAAAAAAGTCACCCTAGGAAATGAAACGTACATGAATTAAATTTCGTGCCGTTACATTGAAACTACCACCTCAGTCGAGGAACATTTTGACTTTACTTCGTAAAAGAAAGATTGGACATTATAGCCATATTATAGTTATATTGATTGAATGTACTATTAACTGTATGTGACTGAATAAAATTATGATAATAACAATTGATAAAAGATAATACTCACTTCATCGTCAGTGTCTTCTTCCAAGGAAGGGATATCAATGTCTTTTACCTGATCATGCAGCATCTAAATAAAAATAGAGCATCGTGAAAACAAATATCTAGATATAGAGTAGATATATTTAAGTGTGTTAAAGTGTGAATTTCAAAGTACTATGTAAAAGTTCTAACTTACTTGTAATAGCTTAAAACTGTTATTGACCGTGGCTAATGACACAAGTTTGTGCCAGTTTTTTTCAATAACATTTTTACAGTCGTCCCCGAACTTCTGTATCAAATCTTTTGCGACGTGCTCGCTGTTATATTTTGTTGCTATTTCAACCATTTTATCGATTTCAACTTCATCTGACATGTCTTCTGTAAGGCGTTGAAATACTTGTAGACTGTCGTACCTTATTGCCGTCAAAAGAGGAGTTAACTGTTTCACATCCTCAATAGATACGTCAGCTCCTCTGAAATGAATATCTGACATACATATTTTTGTTAAACATATTGTTAGGTTGAATACTATTTTGGATTAAATGATAAATCGACATATTATTATTACCATCGCGCCGTACACTAAAATATTAAACCTCAAAAGAGTAAGGTTCGTTAATACAAATGAGAAATCAATCTAAGAATGCACGTCTATTTCCATATGGATCAGGGCTTTAGAATAAACTAAGGCAAAACATGTTGTAAGTGAATTATCTCGATACATTAAATATCTTAGTGAATAATAAAGTTATATTCACTTAGCAATGCCAATACACAAATTGTTCAACTTTCACTTTGCCTGACTTAGAAATTTACAAGTTAAGGATATTTCTTGTCAGTCGATTTAGTTTCTTTTTTATTGTTATAATCCTTTTTATAATCATTTGTTATCGGTGCTGTTGAAAATTTTCAACGAATCATAATCTATTTTTAGAATAGTAATGTAAAGAATTGATAAAACAGCAGCATCAATTAAAAAGAAATTCACTTAGCTAAAATTCTTTGACCAATCAGAACAGTTCTGCATTTTAATGAATTTGACAGTCTGAAGCACATTTTTGAAGAAGTAAGAACCAAAATTGTCTGCTCAAAGATTTTACTGACATATAAATTAATTAGTTTTTCTTGTAAATATTTTCTTTATTAAAAAGACAAATTTGCATCAACACTTTGAGCTGCTCTTTTTTCTAGAATATGTTTTGTTTAATAAACTTCATATTTATTAAGTAGTTAAAACTAATGTTGTTTGTTTAATTTGGAAGTCATCTTGGATTTTTATAGATTTTATCTTTCACTTATTTTGTAACTTTTAAAACAAGACTTTCTGCTGCAGTTGTTGCGTGTAAAACACAGATTCATTACGAATACCTTTCACACTTTAAGGGGAAATACCTCATTATGTGGTATTTCTGTTTAATAGGCATAATGTTTTCTTCAATTTATTCATTTTAATATCTTTATTTGCCAGCGGCAAAGAGCCCAGGATGACACCAAACAAAACAGGAGAGGACACAAGACAGAGCACGGACAGGATATTTACTTACATAACAAAATATGTTTGTAAAACATGTATGCCCCCTATCGGCAGCCAATTAGTCATGTGATCAGGTTATTATGCATGACTTCTGACCTAGTGAACAAAAAATTAATAAGTGTTATTTTGTATCTACTGGTCATGAATAGTCACAAGGTAATAGTTATTGTCACCCCATAGGTTGTGTGCAGCAATCTAAGTTATTACAAATCTTACCAAATAATAAATGTATCAATTTTATGAATCATGTAGGCCTCATTAATGACTGTCAAGTTGTTATATTACATAAGACCTTCAAATGTGTATACCAAAAGCAATTTTAGTTTAATATAAAAATATCAACCAACACAACTTGAGTTGTTGAGTTATTGGTCAGAAACCGTCTTTAAGTACAAGGTCAATATAACACTGACCCGTGATCCCAAAATCAATAGGGGTCATCTACTGGTCATGACCAATCATCATACCAAGTTTGAAGTTTCCAGGCCTAAGCGGTCTTAAGTAATTGATCGGAAACCCTTTTTACCTACAAGGTCAATGTGACCTTGACCTTTGACCCCTTGACCCAGAAATCAATAGGGATCATTTGCTGGTCATGGCCAATCATCATACAAAGTTTGAAGTTCCTAGGCCTCAGCGTTGTTTAGTTATTGATCGGAAACCGTTTTTACCTACAAGGTCAATGTGACCTTGACCTTTGACCCCTTGACCCAAAAATCAATAGGGGTCATCTGCTGGTCATGACCAATCATCATACCAAGTTTGAAGTTCCTAGGCCTAAGCGTTCTTTAGTTATTGATCGGAAACCGTTTTTACCTACAAGGTCAATGTGACCTTGACCTTTGACCCCTTGACCCCAAAATCAATAGGGGTCATCTGCTGGTCATGACCAATCATCATACCAAGTTTGAAGTTCCTAGGCCTAAGCGTTCTTTAGTTATTGATCGGAAACCGTTTTTACCTACAAGGTCAATGTGACCTTGACCTTTGACCCCTTGACCCAAAAATCAATAGGGGTCATCTGCTGGTCATGACCAATCATCATACAAAGTTTGAAGTTCCTAGACCTAAGCGTTCTTTAGTTATTGATCGGAAACCGTTTTTACCTACAAGGTCAATGTGACCTTGACATTTGACCCCTTGAACATGAAATCAATAGAGTTCATCTGCTGGTCATGATCAATTATCATACCAAGTTTGAAGTTCCTAGGCCTAAGCGTTCTTTAGTTTTTGATTGGAAACTGTTTTTACTTACAAGGCCAATGTGACCTTGACCTTTGACCCCTTAACACCAATATCAATAGGGGTCATCTACTGGTCATGACCAATCACCATACCAAGTTTGAAGTTCCTAGGCCTGAGGGTTCTTTAGTTATCACTTGGAAACCATTTGGTCTACGGACCGACGGACGACAAACCGACAGACAGACAAATGCAAAGCAATATACCCCCTCTTCTTTGAAGTGGGGGCATAATAACAAAGTCAGTAAGTAATAGCACTTTAGTACAGTAAGTGCCCGTCTACACCTATCCAAGTCTTGAATGCAAGTATCATATTCTCTTGTATTGGATAGTGTAGACACCCTACTTGAATGAGTTTTAAAGAGAAATTATGTGACATCCAAGAAGATAATTCCTTGCAAGAAAGTTAGAACACGTTCTATTTTTCTACAAGTTTTTGGCTGTCAAGACACTGATAACACCGGTTTGACACAAAACATGTGCACCGAAGGTGTGATAGTGTTGTTTTTTTATTATTTTCTGACTTTTGTTGTGATTCAGTGTACATGTCCTTTGAATTTCAGTTAATGATTACAATGTCTTGGTCAAAGGAACAAATCAATACGCTGATACACAGAAGAGCAAAAAAAAAAAAATAAAAATAAATACATTGTAAAAAAATAAACAAGAGCTCTTTTTCAAGTAGAGTCAAAATGGATTTAAAATGATCTTGTTCATTTAGTGAATAAGTTTCATCAAACAAAATAATTTTTTGTCACATTTTTTTCAATTTTAAAAAAGAATGAACGCATTTACTCCATTATGTTTTAGCTAATTGCATCATTTTCCCGCTTCTTTTCACATATTTTACAGAAACATGATAGTCTTGCAAAGACAAAGGTATAAATCCTGGGCTATCTTAATGAGACATTTCAGTAAAAATTGTGCCTGAAAAAATGTTGAAAGGGCCGTTTATTTAGCTTATCTAAATGTGACATGTAAGAAACTTGAATAGGTGTAGACACGGCCTAACAACAGTAAACAATCTGACCACCAATCTTTTGTTCTTTAAAGTACTGTGTGATCTTTTCTCTTTCCGTTGATAGGGGCGTCTGAAGGTAAAAGCTAAGTGCAAGCCTTAACAGCTAACTTAGTTTCCGTTATTTAGGTTAATCGTTCTATAAGTAATACAATAGGAGAATATTTCTTGCTACACTGTGTGAAAGTTTGAGCAAGGGGCTGATTCCGCAGGCCAAGAGTCAGTACCGCCCAGTAATAAAAAACTTCAAGAAAATGGCCGACGATAAACCAGATGAAGAACCACAAATGGCATCATCTACAACAAAGTCAGCAACAGTAGAAGACTCCATTCCTGTCCAGGAAGCCTTACCTAATGTCAATGAAATTGAAACGATAACACTTACCAATGAAGACATGAGTAGCCATATGCTATGAAATATCAATTGACGATGACAATTATGCCAATTCGAACATAAGACGACGAAATAATTTACAAGAGCAACGCATAGCGTGGCAAAATACGCCCGAATGCAAATTTGTTTTGAATAATTATATTTTTAAGTTAATAAAATAATGTTTAAACAGAGAGGATACCCATTTATAACATTTGTCCAAAATATGTTTTATATTAAGATCTATATTGAAACATGCCAAAGAGCTACGCTTGTCACATGATTACTTAGTGACAATTATATATGCCACAGCTTTCCGCTGTGAAGTACAGACCGCAAACATGTCACCATCCAAAACAAATGTTGAAGCACAGAGTGGTGATTATAAATATACATGCTATTGTCACAGAGTATAAATACTGACTGAAAACAACAATAATGTTGGTTTTTAAATGATAAAAGGCTAATTTACAAAGTGATGATACATGCTAAAAATCTATGCTCTGTATGTTGTATGTTGGTGGAATATGCTTTTAAAACATATATGCTATATAAATATACGTTCATGTAAAATGTGGCAGACCTACCCAGCCATTTTTAATAACAGTGAAATGATTTTTGGAACAATAGCTAGCTGGATAGCTTCCTTACATGAAAGAATCCAAAGTCCCTGTCGGGATTCGAACCTATAGCGGTGAGGGGCAAGTGGTTTGAAGTCAACGACCGTAACCACTCGGCCGCATACGCCCCTAATAACTTACCTTAAAAAATTGACATTTTATATGCCTCATTTACAACTTATTGTTATTTAGTGAATTTACATACATGTACGAGGGTTGTCCCAATATTCTGTGACAAGATTGATCAAAAGCTAAATAAAACACGTACGAATTTGATATTTTACTATGTTATAAACCCATATAATTTAAACATTTTCACAAATTTTCATAGATAAATATCAACAAACAACAAAAATATGCCATAAACACCATGGCAACTAACGGAATCGCGGCGCACATGTATGTCAAGTCACATTAGTTTCATTTAATAAGATTGTCTCATTTCAAAAAAATTAAATCATATAAACCTATAAAAGCACCTTAATTATTATAATCTTAACAGGAAAAAAATATATAGTTTGATAAAAAAACATTATAAAGTGATAGATTTTAGAAAATGAAGGGAGGTAAATACATATACATTGGGAAGAAACGTATTAATAAATTCTTACATTTCAATCTTCCATTGCAATATATTCACTTTATATAAGGATTTTGAATAAATCAGTTTATTATATACTTTGTAA